GTAGGTGCACCAATCATTGGATTGAATGATTCCGGTGGTGCACGTATTCAAGAAGGTGTTGATTCACTTGCTGGCTATGCTGAAATTTTTCAAAGAAATGTTCTTTCATCTGGTGTTGTGCCTCAAATATCTTTAATAATGGGTCCATGTGCAGGTAATTTATATATTTATATATTTAATTGCCGGTTTATTTTATTGATATATATTTGTGAATGATGTAGGTGGAGCTGTATATTCACCTGCCCTTACTGATTTCACGTTCATGGTACGTGATACTTCATATTTATTTGTTACCGGACCTGATGTTGTTAAAGCTGTTACCAATGAAGATGTTACAAGAGAAGAACTTGGTGGAGCAAAGGTACATACAGCAGCATCAGGTAACCTTTTTATTTATTAATATTCAAAAATTATTTAAATATTAAGTAACTATAATATGTATGTGTTTATGATAGGTGTTGCACATGATGCATTTGATAATGATTTTGAAGCTTTACAAAGGTATTACTTATTAATAAACAAATATCTAATCACTTTCAAATCGTGAACAAGCACCAACCAGATATACTGATGACTCAGCACATCGAGAAGATCTATCACTTAATCATATAATTCCAGTTGATTCTACAAAAGCATATGATGTGAGAGATGTTATCACACGTATTGTAGATGATGAGGTTTTTTTTGAAATTATGCCAAATTATGCCAAGAATATTGTGGTAGGATTTGCTAGAATGAATGGTCAGACAGTTTCAATAGTTGGTAATCAACCATTGGTTTCATCAGGAGTTCTCGATATCAATTCATCAGTTAAAGGTGCAAGATTTGTAAGGTTTTGTGATGCTTTCAATATCCCAATCATCACACTTGTTGACGTTCCTGGTTTTCTTCCTGGAACAGCACAAGAGCATAATGGTATTATTAGGCATGGAGCTAAATTACTTTATGCTTATGCTGAGGTATTTGGAGAAGAGAGAGAATGGGAGTGCATATAATATATATATTTTTTATATAGCCAAAACCTAATTGATATTATTATTTTTAGGCTACAGTTCCTAAAATTACAATTATTACTAGAAAAGCATATGGAGGTGCTTATGATGTTATGTCTAGTAAGCATCTTCGTGGAGACGTAAGTAAAAAAATTTCTAAAAAAATATATATATTTATGATAAACAAAATTAATTAGATTTGTTCATTTATAATTAATTAATTAATTAATCAATCAATTTAAAAAAAGATGAATTATGCATGGCCAACTGGTGAAATTGCAGTCATGGGAGCAAAGGTTTCTAATCAAAAAAAAAATTTTTTTTAGTTCTCTTAATAATTCATGCAATTATTTAACAACAATAATTATTATTAGGGGGCAGTAGAAATCATTTTTCGCAACGAGAAAGATAAAACTCATGCTGAAAAGGAATATATCGGTATGTAAATATTGAAAATAAATAATTACCATTTAACATATAATAATGCCAAAGAATTTATTGATAACTTTGCCAATATATCATCAAAATTGTAATCCAACTTTAACAGACAAGGTAAAAGATTTCTTTTAAAGCATGCGTGAATTAAACATGAATCGAATTAGAATTAAATATTAATCAAAAAATTTATTATTATTATATATTAATTAGTTTGCAAATCCATTACCAGCAGCTCAAAGAGGGTAAATATACAATATAATATACAAACAATCTTTTGTATACACGTTCTTATTTTTCAATTCTCTTTCTTTTTTACACAATTAGATTCATTGATGATATTATTTCGCCAGCAACTACACGAAAAAGAATTATTAATGATTTGGTAGTTTTAAAACAGAAAAAATTACCAATAATTTATAAAAAACATGATAATATGCCATTATAGTTAGATAGATAATTTATTTATAAATATAAATGAAATTTCGAAAATATAAATGAAATTTCGATAAAGTAAAGGAAAAGAATATAATAATTTTTTTCAAGATAAATGTAAATACAATATCTATCTGTGTATAAATTATATACATGTGTATACATTTATTATATGTAAAATTGATGGGAATTTTTCTGGAGAATCAGGAACTTCCATTGTTTCACTTCGTTTTATTCTACAAATGTATCCCTTAGGTCTATCAAGGTAAACCATAATCATAAAACCTATAAATTAGAATATTAATGAATATCGACAAACTTTTTCAGAAATTAACATCGGAACCATACAAAAAAACCCCCCGAATGTATTATTCCAATAGTTTGTATTTTATCACATTGTGTAGGATTCCAGGAAACCTTCTCCATTAATTTTACTAGCATGTCTTTTGGGTTTTTTGGAGATTTTAAATCAAGTTCTTTTAAGAATTTTGTGCCATACTTGGTTTCCCTTTTTTCCTACCTCCCATTCCAAATTCATCTTTATCACCATTGGTAATTGATCTTAATACCCAATCTCCTCGGCAGCCCATTTTTTTACGTGTATTAGCATAGTGGAAATTCTATTTATATCACAATTTGATGATCACTGTGATAAATTTAATTTATGTTGTATGACGTAAATTCATAATTGTTTAAAGTACTCAAAATACGTCAGGTGTTGTTATGGGTAACACCATTCATTAAACAACTATTTTTTTAAAAAATTATGCAGTTATTATCTTTTCTTTACGCACTTTCATTTAAAGATTTGGGATATGTTTGGATGCAAATCAATCTAAAGGTTACATATGAAGCAAAAAATTGTATAATTTTTAGTCAAATAAATGGAATTCAATATAAATATATAAGGTATATAGATAAAATTTATTATAAAATATATGAATGATATGATATATATAAGAACAAGCAACATATATGAAACATGAATATAAAAGCTAAGAATGTTTTCCATTCATTTACTAATTTATTCCTTCTTTTTCAATCTATTTTCTTTTGTTCCAACTTTAAGATCAAAATTACAACCTTCATAGAGAATAAATTATTATTATTAAAGTTGGTTTATTTTTAAAGCTCCGAACTTAGGCTAAAAACTACTTGGCAGTTCCTGGTATTCTAATTTTTGCACTCTGCTTATTCAGAACCAAACCCACTAATCCTAATCTAATAACAATCAGTGGACGAATTTTTTCTGGAGGCACAGACTTAATTACTCAAAGACGTTGTATTTAGAACCTGAAACAATAAGAGTTTAAAAGTTTGCGGAGACGATGAATTTTATATATGGATTGAAAAAATAGAACGTCCTTAGGATTTCTATTCGAATGAAACGAATAATTCGAATAATTCGAACAAAACGATAAAACGAATAAAACGAACAAAACGAATAAAACGAATAAAGCGAATAAAGCGAATAAACGAATAATTCGAATAAGGATTTGTATTACGAATAGGAACTCTAAGCGTACAAATTTTTGTGGTGAATCTATGAATATGTAACGATCCGACCGATAACTGACCAGCTGTATCTAAACATGGCATTATGTATAAAATTCAATCGTGATCTCCATACCGTCGTTACCATGGTATAAAATTATAAATTATGTATGTATTTAGAAATAGGATCCTTCCAGCATCTCTACTTTGTGACACATCCGCTAAACTAGTTACAAAGTTATTATAATTTTTTTGAAGTTATTATGTATATTTTTGCGTAGTTAACGAATAGAATGTCTGAAATTTTGGGCCGAAAAACCGAATTTTCGGTTCAGTTTCGGATTGGGCATTAAACCGAACCAAATCGAGCCATTCGGAGCTTTATTTATTTCATCATTTTTTATTATAAGAAAAGCATATATATATCTTTTTTTTTAAAGAAAATACAAAGACGTATATACCTTGCTCTTTCACTGAAGAAATATATAAAGTATAGACACACCTATTAGTGATATTTAAAGTATTAGGACCATACTCCATGAAAATGGAGTAAAAGATACAAATTACATACAGAGCATATAACATTAATTCTTCTAGTACTTTCCTATTGATATGAATCTTTACATTGGCTTTTATTTGACTATGTATGTTTACTTTATTTTTTATTTAGTGTATTAGCGAAAATTTATTATTATTATAAACATTTATTTATTTTATGGGATTCTTATTAATAGTTTCCCACTTACTACAGTTCACTCTCTCTATAACGAAATCTCTATAACAAACTTTACTTTTTTTTTTTAATAATAATTAATTTCTCTTTATAATCTTAGTAAACACAAATAAAAAATCACATAGAGATGGAAGGTTCGTTATAGAGAGAGTGAACTGTGTATATACAAATATGCGTATTGTATTCCTTCAGTATAAAACTTTATTACCATATATATCTAAGATCACAAATTTAAATAAATAAATACATATATTTGTACATCATGCAAAACATAAAAAACACTCTAATTTAAAGTTATAATTCAAACGAATTTTAATATGTATGTAACACGAAGATCTTCTACTAAAATGTAAATATGATTGATCCGAACTATATATATATATATTATATGATGATCAATCATTGTGACCAGAGTCTTACCATTAGAAATTCTGTGTAATATTTTTTTTATTATTTTCCCCTTTTTATTAACAAGATCTGATAATAATAAATTCTAATTTCGGAACAGAACACTTTTTGTCCGATAAAATCTTGATAAAACTTGCCAAATCTTCTGTTTTTTAAAAAAGGAAATTCCCTACAAACCATTTTTATAGAAATCTGCAATATGCTATTTGATTCTTGTTGGCTGGAATTTGTGATTGTTGATTGCAAATGGCAAATTGCAAAGGCTTATCAACGAACTGTTGAATTTTTGTGGAAAGATGAAAAAAAATTGAATATAGCGAACAAATTTTCATCAAAATTAATTCTCTGGGAAACATACATGTAATAATAATAATGCATTCATTTATTATGTTTACAAACTTTTTAAATAATGATAATTTTAGATATATTAAAAAACAATGGTGCAAGAACATTAAGTTATAAATAAATTAAAACTAAAAATGGATTTAAAATAGAATAGCTTTTTTACTAAAAAAAATTTACTAACTTTATTATCAAAAAGAAAGAAATTTTTTTTTAAAAACAATCAGAAACTCTACATCCCATCTTGAAAATCTACGTTCCCCATTCACACTAATGTATAAGAACAATGACATTGCGTTTGCGAATATCAAGGAAGGCCACAATTTTTATTATTTTTAGATAAATAAAATCAAAAATTGTTGTGAATATTGATATTTTATAAAACTTGTCTAAGATTTAAAAAGTTCCATTTGCAGAGAATTTTCTTGTAATAGCCGAAAGAATCTTGACTTCGAAAACAATTGAATAATAAATGACTTTTGTAAAAAATTTTGGCTAATCACGAGAAAGGGTTAGTCGGTTCTTTTTATTGTTATTTAAAAAACAATTGAATGATAATATGAATAAATATTGATTGTTTTTGATTAGCAAAAATAAGAACAAAGATCGATTGTTTAATTAACAAAACAAGAATAAAAAGTAGATTTTGGTCGCGAAAAACAAACACATCTTAACTTTTTTTTTTTTTTTACTATTACTATATAAGAAAAACAACAAAAGCGAAAAATTTCCGTGTTTAATTAACTCAATTGTTTATATGGTAGAGACGAAAAAGATTCTTGTATTTTGTCATAAATGCTATTGGGTTTCAAAATCTTCAACTGGAAAAGAATTGGTTGTACATATTGTTGCCTTTTATTCAAAAGATCTTAACGTAAAACCAATTCATAATTATTATTATCATGTGATGTATGCGGACGTAAGTAAATAACCTGTCTTTATCTGTTATAATGAACTTTACATCAAAAAAACCAAATTTGGTCATGTGGTTCAAAAAATATTGTAACATAAAAATTACATAATAATAACTCTTCATTTTAAATTTGAACGGCGGGTATTTCTTTTTTATATGGATCACATGATATTTCAGATTTTTAATATTAACCGAGTCAACCAAATTACCGTATTTGGAAATTAACTATGGTTTTTTTTTGGTTTTTTGCCATTTTCTCTAAACAACAATCCACATAAAGTTATACCCATATGAAAGCTTATGATGATTTACGTCTTCTTAACCATTGATCAAGTTTATAAAGGTAATGTTGGAGAAAATCTTAGTTTTGGAGTGAAAAATAATGCTGTTTTTGAATAAGTATAGGATTACATAGATAACTTCGAAGATCGTTAGAAAGTTATAATGGCGCAGTTTCAGATTAATGATGATGTTTGAATTTGTTATAACAATAATGAGAGATATTTTATCAGGATTTCCATTTTACATATGGATTATCAACTGATGTGAATTTGTCCAACTGTTATATATATTAAAAAAGAAATGTGGATTAGCTTTGCAAAAAACCGACAATAGTATTCATGCTAATTTTTATTTTATTTAAAAGAATCTATATTTAATTATGTTTTGTGATTGTTGAAATATGCAACCTTTTGTCACTGTCATTATTTTCGTGAAGGTCTTAAGGCTCTCTCTCACCTGATGATAATAAAATAGTGGAAAAAGTAAATATATGTAACCGTCGATGAATTAATTAGCTAACTGTCCAATAGACTACAGGAACTAAAAATTTTATATTTATATATACAAAGCAGAGTTATTAATAAAAGTAATGAATGATACTGTTTTTAAGATATTATTGCATCGTTTAAAACATCACAAGTTGAAATTAAAATAATTCATAGGAACAATCATTTAGCAAGCAAGGATAGAATAAAGCTACTCGAGTAATATGACCTGAGAGTGTCTCATGGAAAAGAGGCATTTGCATCAAGAAAGATATATAATATAATAAATAAAGGCAGTTCGGTTTTTGGTTATCTCATCAAACATAACAAAAAGCAGTATTACTACGGCTACTCTGCTAGCTTGATTAATTTTTTTTTTTAAAAAAAAAAGGAAGAAATAATTTAGATGGACAAGGTGGCTATTATTTAAAATACGAAAAGAAGTCGGACAAGTTATTTGATATCATGTTATTGAAGAACGACTTTGCTCTCCCAGGGGATATCTTATACTTATAAATCTAGACTATAAAGGAACTCATGCAAAGAGAGAGGATTCAAAATCAAAAATCACGTTCATTGTCTGTTTGTAATTACGATTGCGACATTCGAAAATATAATGAAACGCTCATTTATCAGTATTTGGTTTTTCACGAATAAATTTGATTCATCTGAAGCAAACAATTATTTTGGCATTTTTCATTTTGTGATAAAATAGTGTTTTGCGGATGCACACATAATTATATAGTAATTTTTTTTAAAAAGTCAACTGATGCTACGCAGGATCTCATATTTTAAAATAATCAATCATCAATTATTACAACAAAGTAAAGTAATGATTGCCAGTGGTAATTGAAATCTACAAAACTTTTATTAACACGTTCATGAATCTGAAACGAAAATACACATCCCTTGAAGATGAAGATTTGATAAGTTCTTGTTATCGGGCAGATATCGGTAGATACCTACCTGATCTGTAGGTCAATATGTTTTTCACGTGTTTTTCAGGCACGTGAAAAAAAGGATATTGCTTATAGGAAGTATAGGTATCTACCGATAAGGGTCATATTATTTAGCCTGTTTTGACTGAGGTCTTTGTGATAAAGCAAATTGTTTCATCGCCATAAATTCACATTGGGGTTTTTTTACTTGATATTATACCACAAATAGGAAAGTGGAAACGTGTGAATATTCCCACATTCAATTATTACAAAGATTTCTTATTATGATAGGATTGCCAGTGGCAATAGAATTTTTTCTTGGTTATTATTATTTTTAATTATTAATTTTAAAAAAATAACAATAGAAATTTGTTTGATGATTATATATTTCTATGGAGAGGATGTGAAGAGACAAAAGGTTTATTATTTATTAATTAATTATTCATTCATTCATAAAAATAATAGATCATCATTATAACTATATAACTTCAATTGTCATTTATTACATCATTATATTTTAAATGGGCTTTGCACATTTCCTTAGTTCAATTAT